TTTTTTCAATTGATTTCATTTATTAAGCAAACAAATTGTTAAAATAAAAAGGGCTTAAATGCACTTGTGGTACTCTTATTTTGATATTTTTAAAATTTTAGTCCCCTTATTTTAAAAATCAGTTTTTTGATCATGAACTTTACATAACTCGGGATTTGGTTGATCTTCCTCCAGTTTTGCATATGTGACTTGATGATTAGGATAAAAAAATTAATTTTAATAACATATCAATGATAATTAGAATGATTTATTATTTAATAATTTTTAATAATTTTAATTATGTCTTTTTAGAAATTAATTAGTTAGTTTTTTTAAAAAATAGTTAATTAAAATTTTTAAAAGTACTTTGGGCCTCAAGCCCATCTTATTTTAACACTAGCCCAATATCCAAGTTTGCAAGTGGTTGTATTAATGAGTTATATAAACTCTAATCACATTTGTTAAAAAATAGATGGGAAACTTTAATGAGAAACAAAATCCACACTGCACGTGCAACCTTTCTCCATTTAACATTTGGTTTCAACTATCATCACGATGTCAAACTTTTTCTCCAACCAAGGATATACTTATAGTATATGAAGAACAACCGTTTACCATTTTCACCATGTCAACTATCGATAACGTGCCAGCTTCCTCCATCCACGTTCTAGACAACTGTATCCTCTCTAGAATCATGTCAAGCCACCCATCTCGCCAAATCATTCTTATTGACCTATTGTGAATAGCTTCATCATGTCTTCATGAATGTACTTGATGTTCCTGATCATCTGGCTCAAAGTTAATCACCTCCTTTCCAATATACACAACGTTCCTGATCATGTCGAACTCTGTATTGGTAAATTCCAAAGTTCTTCATATCCTGGTAGTTGAAGTACCATCTCTTAGACAAGTGTTCTCCTTAATCCAAGTCAGAGCATGACGTTGGGGGTGACATGTAACAGGCTAAGAGTAGGAAGAGATTAAAATATCTGGTTATCCGAAGGGGCAACTCACTTTTGCAAGAATAGCAGGATATGTTGAGAGAGGATAGAATATATGGAATTTTGGGTGAAGAGAACATAAAATATGGAAAGAATTGCAGGAGCAGTAACATAAAATAGTCCCACATCATTTTTGGTGAAGAGGTTTTAAGTGTTTATATAGACTAAACAAACTTATAGTCCAAATAATGTTGGCTCGAGGTGAAAAGTCGCAGATTGAGCTTTTGGTCCAAAATAAAAGAAGAACTTTTTATTATTTTAAAACTTGTCTTAAATAATGTTCAAAATATATATTAATAAAATAAATTTATAAATTAAAAAATATTCTAGTAATTATTTAAATTAAAGTATTTTTTTAATACTAAAATTAAATATTGTAAAATAAAATATTCATATACAACATTGAAGGACTAAATTAAAAAAATTCAAAATAGGGACACCAGTGATATTTAAAAAAGAAATTATTGCATCTCAAAGAACAAATTTTAAGGTTGAAAAGGTTTATGCATATTCGAAAGAAATGTGCAAAATACAAAAAAGTGTTATTCTAATAATCATCATCAGACCTTTTGGGAGAAAGGGTTTATAATGCAAAAACAACTCAGAAAGATCCTGTTTTTGATCAACATGAGAAATAATATCTTTACCCCCCTATTAGGCTTATACGTATAGTTTTAATATTTTATCATTAATTTTTCTCTCTTATTTTTAAATCAAAATTAAAAAAACAAGTTGTTTATTTGAATGGATATGTTGTATATTTTAAATGTTATAATAATATATATTGTTTTAAAAATATAATTAATTTTATAATTTTATTAATCAACATTTTATATTTTATTAATCAACTTTATTTACTATTAAAAATTATTTTTAAATATTTAGACATTCATTAATCAACTTTATCATTTCATTAATCAATTTTTTTCTTTTCATTAATAAACTTTCTTTTACTATTAAAAATTGTTCTGGACTGGGCTCCGGGCTGACCGGGAAGGCCCAACCCACACACACTTGGGGGAAGGCCCAAAGGAGCATTCCTCATCTATGTCAAGCACAAGACTCCCCGTCGACCAGACACTGCCCCGTCGGACAAAACCTTCCTCATCTGTATCGAGCACAAGACTCCCCGTCGACCAGACACTGCCCCCGTCGGGCAGGACCCTCTCCCTTGCCGAGCAGAACAACGTATTCTTCACACGTTCTCCACGTGCTCCCCTCCGCGGGGACACGTCATCCACGAACTGCCCACCTCCGAAAGAGCAGGTCAACCCACTTTCCGGAGTCCACGGAGCAGTTGAACTAGGGCGAAGACCACGTTCTGGTCTTCACTACGCCACGTAAGCCCTAGCAGTCACTTGGGTTGGGCCTGACCATCCGCCCCAACTCAAATGACCGTTGGCCCTGCGCTGGGGTCTCTCTATAAATACCTTCTTTCACAAGAGGGTCAAGTATTCTCTTCTTACCCCTTTTCAGTATTTGTTGTCACTCTGTCCAAACACTTACTTTGGCATCAGAGTGCCTTGCAGGTACACCCCCCATTTCCTTTCCTTAACACCGGTGAGTAGGCAGCAGATCAACGACGTATGGCAAGTCCTTGGTCCCCTTCTGATCAGGTCATATCAGTGGCGCCGTCTGTGGGAACTAAGCTTCCCCGTTCTTCCGAGCAGAGAACCAAAACTTCATCTCTCAAAACTTCAGGATCAAGACTAGCCCACGCCATGACGACGCTGTTCACAATTCCGACCACGTCCCCGTCACCAGCGGCGACGGTCAGGTGGGGACATCTCAACTCCGCGAAGAGGGGCAGGACCCTCGCTGCCAACCAGCCAGCATTTGTCCTCTCCTTCGTCGGACAGAAACTCTGTCGAGCAAGACCTTGGCTGCCAACCAGCCAGCCTTTGTCCTCTCCTTCGTCGAGAAGAAGCTCTGTCGAGCAAGACCTTGACTGCCAACCAGCCAGCCTTTGCCCTCTCCTTCGTCGAGCAGCAGGACCTTGGCTGCCAACCAGCCAGCCCTTGCCCTCTCCTTCGTCGGGCATAAGTTCTGTCGAGCAGGACCTTGGCTGCCAACCAGCCAGCCCTTGCCCCCTCCTTCATCGAAGCAGAAGCTCTATCGAACAGGACCTTAGCTGCCAACCAGCCAGCCTTTGCCCTCTCCTTCGTCGGGTAGAAGCTCTGTCGAGCAGGACCTTGGCTGCCAACCAGCCAGCCCTTGTCCTCTCCTTCGTCGAAGCAGAAGCTCTATCGAACAGGACCTTGGCTGCCAACCAGCCATCCTTTACCCCTCCTTCGTCGATCAGAAGACCCGTCGGGCAGGACCTTGGCTGCCAACCAGCCCTTGCCCCTCCTTCGTCGGGCAGAAGCTCTGTCGAGCAGGACCTTGGCTGCCAACCAGTCAGCCCTTGCCCTCTCCTTCGTCGAAGCAGTCAACCTTTGTCCTCTCCTTCGTCGGGCAGAAGCTCTGTCGAGCAGGACCTTGACTGCCAACCAGCCAGCCCTTGCCCTCTCATTCGTCGAAGCAGAAGCCCTGTCGAACAGGACCTTGGCTGCCAACCAGCCAGCCCTTGCCTCTCCTTCGTCGATCAAAAGACCCGTCGGGCAGGACCTTGGCTGCCAACCAATCAGCCCTTGCCCCTCCTTCGTCGGGCAGAAGACCCGTCGGGCAGGACCCTGGCTGCCAACCAGTCAGCATTTGTCCTCTCCTTCGTCGAGCAGAGCCCTGTCTTTACGGGGCAAGACGGAGCACGGGGCCTACTACCTCGAAAACTTACACGGGGATCAACTAGCTCGACTTTGGAACGTTGAGAAGCTGAAAAGGTACTACAGTTAAACACTGCCCGCGACACCCAGTCGTCGCGACCACAGGGGGGCGACATGGTACCGCCACACCTCCTCGCGTCTTCGAGAGACCAACAAAATAGCAAGTACTGCCTTTGTGTGTGCGGGCAGAAGGCTCTGCTCGACGGAGAATTCCTCGATCGAGACTCCCCGTCGCTGTACCAGAATCGGCAGGACACCCAGCTCGCGATGGGACGTTCACGCTGCGGAGATAAACTACCCCCGAAACGACCAGGTAACAAAACCGGTCAACCGACCAGTTCTCTACACTACCGGGCACCATCATCGTCGAGCTATTTCTCCCTGACATACCAAAAAACATAATAAACACGCATCTCAAATATACTAACCCGAGCATACAACGTACAGAAATAAAACAGGCATATCATGATGCAGAAACAAAACGAGCGCACACTTAACCATTTTTTCTCACATTTTAAACCAAATTTATTTACTATTAATTGATTTCATATATTTCATAATTATTTATCTATTTATTCTTTTTTTTATAGGATGAAAAAGAGTAAAAGTGAAATAAATAAAAAGGGTGAAAAAATATATATAAATTAAAAGATATAAAATGTTGGATCTCACAATACATAATATAATAAAAAGTAAAAAAATGACTTGAATATTAAATTAATTTTAATAATAAATAAATATACGGTGTATAGTAAACAGATTGTTTCAATAAATTTTGTCTTCGTTACTTGCACCATTTTATTATAATATTTAGTTATTTAATAGTTCAACCTTTTTTCATTAGTTTTAGACGAGAACTTGATCAATAGTTTTTAGACGAAAAATGCAGTAGATTTTATGGTAAAGACGAAACCATGAGAACTTTGATTAAGCAAATATAACGAAAGCATGATATTTTTAGTGAAAACCATGAAAAAATTGTCAAGAATATTTATGCTTCAATATCAAGTAATGTTCAATTGATAAATCCTTGATATAAAATTGTCTATAAAGTTCATCTAAAAACTGTTTCAAGATCTAACAAGTAATAAGCAACATAAAATTATTAGGCAATTTGGCACATAAAAGAGTGCACAAATACAATACCATCAAGGAAAACATAACCAAACCAAAGGTTTGGATTCTCCACCTCATAAAGTATAACCAAAGAAGTCCACATTCTAAGTGGTCTCACCTAACATTACTTTAATTTCACACCTTACAAGGCCTTTTGCTCAGCCAACTGATTTTGATTTTGCGGCAGTGCTTGCAGTGCTGTTCTCTTCTTCTCCTCTCCCTGCATTTGGACATCTTCATTATCAGTCATGGCTAGTTTTCCATCTAACTTCTCCTTCAGCAATTTTTTTAGACCTCTCATACTCATATTTTGAACATCTATGGTTTTCAAGTTTTCCTTCTTCTTATTAGGATTGTTCATCTCACTCTCAACACCAGTAATTGCTTGAATTTCATTAGAAATTTCTTTGGTTCCTGAATTCAGTAACTGTTTGTTCATGTCACTACTCTCCACACTAGTAACTGCTTGCATCTCATTTGAAATTTCCTTGGTTCCTGATTTCAGCAACTTTTTGAGCCTCCTCATACTCATATCCTGAACATCAATGGTTTTCAACTTTTCCTTAGTTTCTAACTGAGGTGAGCAAATGGGTTCTTCCTTTATCTGCTCAAAAGCCACTGATTCAGCCGCAATACTAGTTTTCTGATCATTGTTTTGAACCACCGCTTCCAGTTTCTGGGATGTATTATTCTGGTCAGCCTCTTTCTTTACAGAAGAAACATCCATCATTGAAAGTTTAAGAGTTACCTTTTCAACATCGTTGCTTTCTTTTTCGCCCTCGTTTTCAGCTTTTTCTGCTAGAATATCAGAAATTGTACTGTCAAGCTCAGCGGTTTCTTCTGTGGCAAGTTGTTCAGCTTGTGCTTCTACTTCCAGCTTCTGGAATGCATTATTCTGGTCAGCCTCTTTCTTTATAGTAAGATCCATCTTTGAAAGTTTAAGAATTACCTTTTCAACATCGCTTTCTTTTACGCCCTCATTTTCAGCTCTACCAGAAGTTTCATTTTTTACGGCTAGAATAGCAGAAACTGCACCCTCTATATTCTCTACCTCTTCAAATACCATGTCAGCAATACCGTCAAGATTATCGACATTGGCATCATCAGGTACCACAACGTCGACAGGGGAAATCTCTTTAGAATCTTCTTCATATGACTCAACGGACAAGCCAATAATAGCTAGTTCCTCCGTCTCCTTAAAAGCCTCTTCAGATACCTCAGCAGACACGCCAGTGGCATCTTCTTGCTCAGCAACTTCCTTAGAAGCATCATCAGACACCACATCGGTTGAAGGGGCAATGTGAGAAATCTCCTTAGATGCCTCATCAGGTGCCTCAACGGACAAGCCAACAATAGCTTGTTCAGCAGTCCCCTTGAAAGCTTCTTCAGATGCTTCAACAGACAAGTCAGCAACATCTTCTTGGTGAAAAACTTCAAGAGGAGCCTCATCAGACACCACATCTGTTGAAGAGGCAATAGCTTGGTGAGAAATCTCCTTAGATGCCTCATCAGATGCCTCAACGGACAAGCCAACAATAGCTTCTTCAGCAGTCCCCTTGAAAGCTTCTTCAGATGCTTCAACAGACAAGTCAGCAACATCTTCTTGGTTAGCAACTTCCATAGAAATATCACCAGACACCAAATCGGTTGAAGCACCAATAGCTTGGTCAGCAAGTTCCAGAGGAGTCTCTTCTGGAGAAGCAAACTTCATAGTTTGATCTTGTTCGAATCCAAAATTTTCCTTATTTTCAATTTCAGCAGTATCACCAATAGGGCCAGCAACTTCCAGAGGAGTCTCTTCTGGGGAAGCAAACTCCATAGCTTGATCTTGCTCGGCTCCAAAGCTTTCCTTATTTTCAATCTCAGCAGTATCACCAACAGCTTGGTCAGTAACTTCCAGAGGAGTCTCTTCAGGGGCAGCAAAATCTTCAGGAACAGCTTGATCTTGTTCCTCTCCAAAGCTTTCCTTATTTTCAATTTTAGCAGTATCACCAATAGGGTCAGCAACTTCCAGAGGAGTCTCTTCTGGGGAAGCAAACCACATAGCTTGATCTTGCTTGGCTCCAAAGCTTTCCTTATTTTCAATTTCAGCAGTATCACCAATAGTTTGGTCAGTAACTTCCAGAGGAGTCTCTTCAGGGGAAGCAAACTCCATAGCTTGGTCTTGTTCCTCTCCACAGCTTTCCTTATTTTCAATTTCATCAGTATCACCAGATTCCTCGGGTTCAGGCAGCTCAGATTCTGAAAAGTGATCAACATCATGTTCACATGAGTTAACCAAAGCAAACTATCATTGGCTGCACAAAAATAATAACGATGGTAACAAACTAGTAGCAGATGACAAACATACCTGCTTCATTTGAATCTACACAATTCTCAAAACTGTTTTGCAGATTTAAACTTGGGTCCTCATTTGCATCTTCCACATGATTGACATTCTCTGAGCCCTCCACTTCTGGTTCAGCCTGCAACACATCCGCTGCATCAGCTGATTTTGCTTCTGAACCAGCTTTGTTTACAGAAGAAGCTTCCACTTCATCATTGTTCTGAGAAACCGCATTTGATTCTGTCTGCAAACTAGTCCCTGCCGATCAATAAACACAAATTGATTAAAAACATACTAAAAAAACAAAGCAAATAGAAAAGAAATTTACAATAATTAAAGGAATAACGAAATCCAGCATACCATCTTCAGAAACATCCTCGCTCTTGGTCTGCTCCTTGTCCTCAGTCTCCACCAAGCTAACCTTTGACAAGCTCTTGCCCAACACTCTCACGGACCTCCTTGTGCTATACGCGTTCTGCAATGAAGTTCCATCAGAGACCTCTTTCTTGTCGCGAACTGATCGGCCCGCTGCTCTTGTCCTACTTTTAGGCACTACAGCAGGAGTTTTAGCCGCTACATCCTTTGGCTTTTCATCGACCTCATTCTCTTCTTCTTCGTCATCTAAAATGATCACTTCCTTCTTTCTGCGAGTAGAAACTGCAGGAGCCTTTCTCCTGCTACACGGCACAACAGCAGGAGTATCAGAGACATTTGCATTTTTGTTCTCTTGCTCAGCCTCTCCTTCAACTACTCCAGATCGCGCCCCACGGTTAGGCCGTGTAGAGATCTTAGAGCTTTCTGATTCTTTCACCGGCTTCCTTTGAGTTGTAGTCTTACCAGCTGTTCTAGGTTGAACAGCCGGGGTAGCAATATCACCACCTTTCATTGGATTCACAATTTCGCCCAATCCCTCAACCTATAAAATCAGTTCAAAGCAAATATTTACTTAGATTAATAAATAAAAAAGGATAATTAAAAAAAAAAATAGGGCACTGATTAATCAATTTCATATCAACAATTTATCCAATCAAATTCAATAGCTCTAAACCCTAAAGATTAGCAAAAGCTTACAAATAAAAACATAACAGTACACTGACATCTAAACGATGACTAATACAAACCTAAAATCAAAAAAACGAAATTAAACCCTAGAAATGCATCGAAGAGATATAAAGGAGATTAAACAGATAAAGAAACAATTACCTGAGGAAGAGCTGCGAGAGCGTCGGCCATGGCAACGTTGGTCATATTAGCTGGAATCTTGTTCCTCTTGCAAAGAGCTTGAAGCTCCTTTCTTGGAAGACCGTGGAACTCCATGAATGAGAGTTGAGAACAAAACAAGGTGTTTTGGGTTTTTGTGAAATGATGCGGCGATTCAGACAAATAAGCGAAGAATAGGGTAATTTTGATGAAGAGGGAACGAGTGAGTGTGGGGTTTTATACTGCGATTGGGTTCGTATGGAGCGTTGACACGTTGGCAAATATGACCGTTGGAGGTTCGATTCAAATTTGAAATTTATTATTATTTTAAGTTTTTTATTTATAGTTAAATTAGTTAAAATAATAATGACTTGGATTTTTAATTAGACTCTGTTTGGTTAATTGAACACTGAAATTCATTTAAAACCGGTGAATGAATGCGATGCAATGCATACAATCGATGTGTGGAACAATACGTATATGCAATTAATTCTACGCAACAATTTTTTAGACAATATTTTTTATATTTATAAAGGGATATTAAAATATTCTAGAACTCTCTCTTTCTCTTTTTTTTACTATAATAACAAATGAGAAAGGTAAAAATATATAATTTATCACTCTATTCAAAGATAATTGATTTTTTCACTGTATCGGTGAAAATAAAATAAAAAAGTATTTTTTTAAGAAATAAAAAATATATTAACAACTATTTTTATAATTTAAGACATACTATCAAAAATAAAAGAGAATAAATTATAAGTGGTTAGTGTAAATTACTAGTTTTACACTTGACACTCCCTTTATTATTATTTTTTACATATCACTTTTAAACTTTTTTTTACTAAATTATAAATCATTTTACCATACTAATAAATTATTACTATTATTATTTATATTATATCACTAATATTTATACTATATTTCACTTCTATTCTTTTAATTTACTTTTTATATTATTCATAAAAGTTAATTTTGTAAAATTATTTATAATTTCTCTTTTTCTTATATTAGGGTTTATTTGATTTTTTTTTTCATTTTAAAACTATTTTTCAATAAATTTTTACTTCATTTCAAAATTGTTTTCCACTAAAACTCAAAACAAATAAAAAAAAAGGTTTTTAAATTTATATTTTTGCATTAAAATTAAGATCACCACAATAATGATCGTTGAACTGTCTTCGAGGATGTACAATACAGACTATCAAACAAGGTCTCAAATTTTTCGGTGTAAAACTATAATTAAATAGGACATCATAAAATTTTTGTCAAGTTAAATTGTGATTAAATATGGTCTCTATTTATTTTGTCCTTGTTAAATTGTGACCAACTCACGCAGGACCTTCAAAAACTTGAGACGCATCTGATGATCGTCAACCACTACTTCAATCATTATTATGATCATCATCGACCACTTACCATAACTTCGCCCACTATTTTAACACTTGTTTAAATGATAGGGTTAATAATAGCTATTTTGTCCCCTGCTATTTGGACAAAATTTGAAAAAAGTTTCGTGTAAAAAAAATAGATTCCCCCTAACATTTGAAGATTTCACTGATTCAGTCCTTCAATAAACTAACTCATCAAATTGTCTGATGTGGCATTGTCAATGCGTAATTCTTTTGTTATTTTCAAATTTATTATATACTCATGTGTAATATATTTTGCATTTTCAGTTGATTATTTTAACAATGTGAAATTTTTTAACCCTAAATTCCAAATTAGCAAATTTACGCATAATCCATTTGTTTTCTCCCTTCTTCGAACTACCATCTGCATATTGTTAGAACACAGATTGGTTCTTAATAATATCTCTATGTTTTGATGATAACTATTATGAAATTTTGTAGTTAAGAATTATGTACTCTAAAATTTGTTTAAGAATGTTTGCTGCAGATATTAAAATAAATATCACTCCATAAGCAAATCAGATCTGAACATAAGAAATATGCAAGGCTCTGAAGCGTCAGAAGCATCCATTAGAAGATTATGAACTCTGCCATCAGAAGATCCTGAGCGTTGCCTCCAGAAGGATCTGAAGCAGAAGCTCCAGAAGAATCTGAAGCAAGCCAGAAGCATCTGAACCAATGAAGAATTATGTATGAAGAGTTTTCAAGCATAGTTACTTCAGAAGATTCTGATAGTACTAACGCTGCCAGTACTGAGGATCTGACCCAAAACTCTGCTCTGAACGTATACACTAAAAGCACACTTGCTGCAAAGACTTTGATTCAGCAAAACTCTGATGAACATCAGAAGGCTCTGATCAAATTAGACTCTGATGATTCTTGCTGAAAATTGATTGAAGAAGAATTCAAAGATTATGTCCGTTGGAATTTCCAAACGACTCTTTCCTTATTTATGCTAGACACAAGAACACAGACAAAAAGGACTTCTCTGTGTTTTCTTCTTCTAGGAAAGGTCACTTGACGTGAAGACAAAAAAGGCTCAGACCTTTTGGTACACTCTTCTCAACGTGAAAAACTCTTGGATCACTGTGCCTATAAAAGCAAGTCTCCACTCATCTTCTTCAGTTGACGAAACACTTGAAAAGAATTCATTATCAAAGCTTTCATGCAACTCATATATTCTTGCTAGAATTAATTCTTTGTTCTTAATCTTAAGTGAAAAATCACAGTTGTGATAAAGCTTTATTAGAAGCATCTTAAAACTTGTATTTATTATTACATTTGATTGTAAGAAAACCTTAAGAAGATCTAGTTAGGATCAGTAGTTCTTGAGAAGACTTTGAACAGTTGTTCTAAGTGCTTACTATTGTAATCAGTTGATTAAATAGTGGATTAAGTCCTTGTTTGGGAAAGGCAAATCACTCTAGAAAGGGTGGACTGGAGTAGTTGAGTTCAACGAACCAGGATAAAAATACTTGAGTTTTTACTTCTAAGTTTTTATCTTCATACTTATTCAACCCCCTTCTAAGTATTTTCTCACCTTCACATATGTCTACCATCTTCACATTCTTCCTTTTTCCTCCTTCTTCCTCCACATATAACTACATGTGCAATCAATGGCCGAAAGTTCAAAGAGTTATATGTCCTCTAATGGTAGAATCACTCACAAATATGGGTAGGATCTTTCAATGAAAGTGCTCGTTTCAAAGTTTGCTGCAAATCTTGGTAGAAAATATTGGAGGCAAATTTTAGGGGAAAGAAGAAGATTGTCAGTTATTTTATTGGAATGTTGAGTACTTTGGTTCTATTGATAGGAAGAGAATTGAGGAAGATGATGATGGTTGTAGTAGGTGTGATATCATGATAGAGTATTTGAGAAAATTTGGAAAGGAATTTGGAAGAGAATTTGGGACAAAATTGTGTTTCAAGGAGATGGAAGATATGAAGAACAAGTTAGAGAGCACAAGGAATAAGCTGACCTTTGTAGTTGTAGTATTTATTTGTTCTTGGGTTTATTTTGTCACTGTCTAAGCAGTCTGATAGTTGTATTATATTAAGTGTTAATTATGTAGAATGAATGTTGTATTATGATGAATTATGTCAACAACATTGTGATATGCTATGTTAACAACATGGTTGATTTGAATTGAATAAAAATAAAATTTCTGCTTGCAAAACAAAATAGTTGTTCCAAAGAGTACTTCCATATTTAATTATGCAGCCATAGGCATAATGTAATTACAACTAACAAAACAATATGGCAGTACAACCTTGTTGCTCCAACTTACAAGTCAAAATGACATATTGTGCATTAAACTTGTTGTTTCAACTTACAAAACATAAAGACAGTACAACATGTTAACAACATGGTTGATATGAATTGAATGAAAACAAAGGTTGTACTTACAAAACAAAATAGTTGTTCCAAATAGTACTTCCATATATAATTAAGCTGCCATATGCATAATGTCATTACAACACACAAAACAAAATGACAGTGCAACCTTGTTGCTCCAAATTACAAAACAAAATGACATATTGTTCCAACTTACAAAACATAAAGACAATGCAACCTTCAAAATGACATTATAACATAAAAAATGACAACTATCTTGACATGATGACAATACACGTTACTAGGATAGTTTCTTAAATATCTCATCCCGTGATTTCATCATGCGCGCACATGTTCCTAGTTTGTAATCTGTTTGGCCAGTAGCAGTAGCAGGTGTATCATCAACATGTGTATCCTCAATTTCTAAAGGTGCATCAGTAGTTGAACCTGGTCCATAGCATTTGTCTTACCTGAAGATACATTTTAGCCTTTCACTACTCCTCGTAGGTGCTTGTGTTTTCTTCTTAGATATCTTCAACTTGCCAATTGCTTTAGCTCAGTCATCTTCTTCTCCCATGCTTGGTAATAAGTAGCTTTTGCAGCTCTCGTGAGTAAGTCTCTTATTGCAGCTCCACCTCTAAACTTCTTATTGAAATTAACATACAAGTGCCTAAGACATATCTTGTGTTCAATTTGTTCAAATATTTCTTCAAATACACTTACCAGTCCCTACAACAAAATTCATAGAATCAACAATTAGATGAAGGTATAATACAACAAAAGTAAATGAAACAACATTTGAATGAAACAATATAAAATTACCTTATATTGGTCTGATATAAAAACATATCTTCTTTCTACACCAATATCTTGAAGAAGTAACTCTAAAAACCATTTCCGACTATCTTTTGTCTCTGTCTCAACTACACCAAATGCTAAAAGGGTAGTATTGATCATTTGTAATATTGCTTTATTGCATCCCCTTCAACCACTTCACCAGCCATTGTCTTAGCCCTCCATGTCTTACCTTTGGTGATGCCTGTTGCACCTCTGTTCATTATCTGCCATCTTCTTCTGAGCTCTAGATCGAGTGGTGTATCTGTGAGTATTCAGCGTGACTCCTTCTCTCTTTTCTCTGAACAAGAACAAAGGATGAGTTGTGGAACCCAGATGCAAGACCAATGCAGGATGAAATGCAAATGCAAATGCGAATGCAAATGCACAAACCATTCAAGGAAAAACAAATTTTTGTTTACAAACAAAAAAGTTAGAACAACATGTAACAATATGCTTAAAAAGCGTTTTTTCATTGATAGCTGGAAAGTCTATTACAATAGATGGCCCTTGCTAAAAAGCAAGACCTTTCTTATAAGAAGTGAAAGTAAATGCAACATTAGGATTTCAATCCTTTTAGGGAAAGCAGGGAAATGGTGAAACAAAGATCATTCTAACAAGACGATCCTTCTCCTTCTTGGACTTCAACATGAGCTTGGTCCTGGAGGATAATTTCCCACAGGTCTTCGTTCTCTTGTTGCGCTTTGATCAAAGCGTATTTTAGCTCTTCCCTAGTCGTGGGGACCTCAGGTTCCATAGTTATCTCATAATCATGAGTATAGAACATGGTCAAGGCAATTTCTTTCGACCAAAGCAAGTACCCTCTGGAAGTTAAACAACTTGCATTCTCCATTGGAGTTAGGCCCAAGAGGTGAGGATCTCTTTGAGCGTATTGAGCACGAGCTTCTAGTTCAGGGTTGCGACCAGTTTCACAGAAGCAGGGTCTCAACAGTTCCGGTTCAGGTTCTGGCCCGGTAGGATACCCATATTGACGCCGGGCAAGAACAGGATTGTAGGTGATAACCCCTTTCGTCCCAATGAGAGGCACATTGGGGAACTCTCCATAACTAGGGATCATGACGAGATCACCAAGGTTAATGTCATACCATGTGATGTCATAGTGCCTGAGAGTGATAAGTTTAGAAACCCATGCGCTTTTGTTGGGAAGCCTCCAAAGGATATGAGTCCTGGGTAGATGAGAAGTAAACCACCGGTCAAGTAGTGTGAGGCAGCATGAGAATTGCCCGAGATCGTACAAGATGAAGCGGTGAATGACCATATAAGTATCAACTAGTATCTCATTTACCGGATTTTTGATGATGAAGAGGCGGATCGCCTTCTCACTGATGAAGTTATAATTGCTTGGGAAGAGATACAACCCATATATTAGAAATGCCAGAATTGCTTCAAAGATGCCCAGATTTCTATTTTCATAATGATATTCGGCCATCTCCATTAGAGGTCTTGCCTCCATTCCGTACCATCCTCCTTTCGCTCTCATTGGTGGTAAATCCTCTAGCTTGATATGTAGGGCTTTAGCCAAATCCCTTTTCTTCGGTTTTCCATAAGGAAGTGTGAAAGTCCATGGAATGTTTAAATAGTCGGTGTACTCCTCTATGGTTGGGAGTAGCTGAAAGTCTGGGAATACGAAGCAGTGGTAGGTTGTATCATAGAATTCAACCAGAGCTTGCAACATGGGCTCATTGACCTGAGTGCTTATTAGCGGTAGGAGGTCTCCATATTTGGCAATGAAAGCAGCGGGGTTTTTGACAAGTCTCGCCAACATCCTGAGACGGCCCAATCTTAAATTCGGGAACGGAAGCATGTCTCTTCTCACCATGTTGTTGTCTGCAAAAAGAAAATTTTGAATTTCCTTGAATGGTTAGAAGAAATGCAAATGCAAATGCAGATGGTGTCATGGAACTCAGACATTTACGAACATCAGAAGTCGCCATTTCATTTGGTTAACAAAATGGGATTACAAAATATTGTTTCCTCTTACAAGAGTTTTAAACATAAACAACATCTAGTGAATCCTAACAAGGCTCCCCTAACAGCCTCAAGTTGAGCTTCTCGATCTTTCTTTCCATCTGAGCCTTCTCAAAAATGAGCTTGTCCACAATTATCTTCCATGGAGTAGATTGAGGCTCATAAGGTTCTTCTTGTGCTTTCCTCTTCTTACAAGAGAGTACTTCCTCGTCTTTCAATTGGAGTTGTCTCTGGAGCTCCGCATTTTCTTCGATGACTACTTGATACTTGTGCTTTTAAGCTTCTTCAGTTTGTTGTGCTTTGACTAAAGAAATCTTCAACTTTTCTTCTTCAGACATGAAGAACAAAGGGCGTTCTTCCTTCAAAGTCATAGGCTCTTGCTTAGGATAAGGCATCCTTAACGTGATGACTCTCTTTCGAACCCATTGGAGGTAAGGTTCCAAAGAGACACAGTTGAGTCTTCCAAGATCCTTTTTCCCTTTCTTATGTAGATGCTTCCAAGCCTCTAGAATCTTTCCTTTTAATTCTTGACTATCTTCTTCTTCTTTGAAGAAAATGTTTTCCACTTGAACACCATTGGGCTTGTCTTTCAAAGGGTATCCCAATTGTCGACGGGCGAGTATTGGATTATAATTGATTCCTCCATTAGCACTGAAAAGAGGTACATTGCCAAAATCCCCACAATTGTCAATGATCATTGTCCCATCATAGTCACGACTATACCAATCAATATCGGAGTGGGTGAGAGCCATGATCTTTTGTAACCACCATCCTTTCTTCGGGTCCCAAAAAGCGTTGGCTTTGGGCAAGTGTGAGGTGAACCATTTGTATAACAGAGGAGCGCAACAAGTAATCATTCCTCCATTGTGAAAGTTCCTCAAATGAACAGAATGATATGTCTCTGCTAGCAAGGTAGGCACAGGATTCTTCTTCAAGAAAATTTTAATGGCATTAAGGTCCACAAAATTTTCAAAGCTAGGGAACAAGAAGATGCCATAGATTAGTAAGGCAAGGATAGCCTCGAATACATCCATGCTTAAATGATCCGCATAATACTGAGTTTTCTCAACCAAGAACTCTGCTTTTAACCCAAAAACTCCTCCTTTTGTAATCAGGTTCTTCTTAATATCAACCAATCCCAAACGTGTGGCCTTGGCAATATCTTGTTCTTTAGGGTCCTCCTCCACAATTGGAAAAGGAGAATCTTCAAGAATGAGGAATTCAACCAATTGAGAATATTCTTCTAGTGTGGGCACTAGCTGATAATCAGGGAATGTGAAACAGTGGTAGAGCGGATCATAAAACTGGAGAAGAGTAGAAAGGAGTCCACTATCCATCTTTATCTTCAAGAGTAACAATAACTTCTCATACCTTCTTTGAAATCCCTTTGGATCTTTCACTAAGGTGCTCAACCTTCTCAAGTCATATAGGTTAAAACCCTTGTAAGTGTACTTCAAAGTTTTCTTTCTTTCACCGTTCATAACGACCTCTGATGTTTACAAACAACAAAGTCTGAGTTCCATGAAACCATATGATGATATGATGTTATGAATGCAAAATGCACAAACACAGGCAAATGCATATGCACACAACACAAGCTTAGGTTTAAGGCGAGCATGGATCCAAGGTCTACCCATCCCCAAGGATTATACTATGGATTGATTGTACCTGCCGACCGGGTTCTACAAAGTTCCCAGAGTCATCAACCCATCTTTCAGATATTATCAATTTCCCAAATCACTTGGTAATCGATAATATTCTCAAGAGAATCTTGTCTGAATGTAGTATCGCGTATCAACTATTTCGAAAATACTTCCTTATAGTCATCGCACTACGTCCTAATAAGGCCAAAGTGGGGTAAAATGTTTTCTAAAAGTCCACAGTGTCATGGGCTCCTTCGTTGAAAGTAGCATTGTTTTCACGAATACTCGATCAACAATACTAAACTTTCAAGAGGGCCTACACTGAGCGGTGGTTTCTCAAGTTAGCTTGGTCAGGAATCAACTCCCTATAAGCCTTCTTGAATATACCACCATCCTATCATAATTGCACTCAAGTCCGTGTATAGGACTGTCTCACCACTCAAAGCACCCAATACCCAACATACGAACAAATATATTGACAAATATACATGTTAAGCAAATATTCACAAATATTGCATGCAAATTAAACAAAATAGGCTAAACCCTCAAGTTAAGTATAACTCCCCAGTGAAGTCGCCATTTCTGTTGCGGTGAGAATCGTGATACCAAGCTATTGATTAACTTGAATCTTAAATTCTTAAATTCACAACCGGACTTTAATTTATCCAAAGGAAAGGTCTAAAGAAAGAAAAACCTTTTGCACGATGTAACAACAACGCTGAGTGATTTGGGGATCGGGGGTTGGTTATGCATAGGGTAGGTATTTCACATTCTAGACATCTGTAGTACTCTACAGGAACCTTTTGTTTGTTTGCATGCTAAGTTGGTAAATGTTTGCTAAGGATTGGGATTGGGTAAAGGATGAAGGTTAAAGCCTAAAGATAGCTTCTAAGTTTGCTCGCAAAGACATCGCGTCATCTGCCTACGTATCCTAACTAGGATAGAATCAGAGCAATCGTAGTTCACCTCACTAGGGTTGAAGAACACTTGATTATGATCAAGGTTCAAAGGGAAACAAACATTACAATACTTGTGTAGAGTTTAACAAAACTCTCTAGATCTATGTTATAACACTCAAGAGGGGAGTAAGTAATCATTACCATGATTCTTACATAGAGTTTACAAACTCTATCCTAGGGTTCTAGTTGAAGAACACTCCTAGTGTAGGTAAGGTTTTTTAGACTTTAAGCAAAGTCCAATGGCTTATATGTTCTAACTTAACTAAGCTAGGATTTAAGATGACTTCACAAAGTCAAGGGAGGGTAATGAATTATCCAATGACATACGGGTCAAGGGAGAGACTTTTCCTTTGGAAAGAGAGATAGAGAGGCAACCTGGATGAGAACTAAAAAGATCCATCACTTGGGGAAGAAATACTTGATAAAGCAAATGAATAATTTAAGCAAACATGAACAAGATTACAATCAAGTAAGTATGCATATCACAGTAGGCAAGGATCAAATAATACCAATGGTTACAACCGATAATCAA